TTGCCCACAACCTGGTCAGCCAAACTCCACCATTGTTCACCTCCTTTGGCAGGGTATGCTGTTTTGAGTAATGGAGATGTTTGCCTAATTGGATGGTGAGCAACCTGATCTTTTCAGACTCTGAAGAAAGCGAAACCCTCCGGCCGTCAATTGTTACAATAAATCGTCTTACGAAAACCTTATATTTGGCTCAAAAAGGATGAAAGAGGCAATGGGGCAAATTCGTAAGTATCTTAAGTTGTAGACTTGTAAACCTCCAATGAATGAAATCCACAAAACGACGAGAAAAAGTTCACCATTTTGTGAAAAAGGTACTTTACCATCTCATGACGACATCTAATGTTGGTTTTGTTGCAGAGTAGACAAAGCACAATTTTTCGTTTTTCTTGATGTTACACCTATGGATGTTTCATCAACAGCTCTAATAATTTTTATCTGGCTTTACTTCGTTTAATCTCAAATTGCGCTCTAAAATAGTCTATCCTTTGCGTATGAAAAAATTTTATGCTCCTTCCCCATCTAAAAAATGGTCCGTGTTTTATAGATTTGGCTTTGCCGTTGAATGCAGAAACAGCTCAAATGTGTACAAAAACACTTTCCCACTATGCAATCATACTGCTGCCAAGGTTCGATAAAGTTACAAAAGTTACTTAACGATTATCAAGATATCACCTTTCCTTTCGTTTTCCTCTCATTTTAACCATTACATAAAAGTTATCGTGGCGTTTAAGAAAATGGAAAATAGAGTGCTTGTTAAAAATGGCGCTGCACACTTTATACGGCGCCTATTCCTCAAAGTGGGTGCATTTCCGCTCTTCTTTATTTGTCGTGCCCATTACTCGGACGTTTTCACTGACAGCAATAGCCTCTTAGGGTAAATAAAAAAAACTTAGCGAGAAATTATTATTATCATGTCATCCTCCTATAATGCAGAATGCCTCAGTACCTGCATTAGATGAGCTATCAATTGATTACAAAAAATCCACAAAAAATATACGTGCACCCAATTTAACCATCGGAAAGAATAGAATACTCATTGCACTCTCTTAGCTGATGACACTCAATGGTGCCACGAGTCGCAAAAGTATGATTGACACGACGGATACGACGGATCATTTTCCAAAAACAGTTGGTCGAAGAAAAATCTGTCATCAATAAATACAGGAATGGTAATTTCAATTTCTACACGCCAGGATATCAAAAATAAGGTGGGCCGGACACATGATGCGCTTCAACGACAAAAGATGGACGAGAGCCGTTACCGACTGGATTCCTCGGGACGTCAAGCGCTCTAGAGGAAGACCACTGACCCGTTGGTCCGATTTCTTCACGAAAGCGATAGAAGAAAGATATGATGCTCAGCGAATTTCTAGAGCGAGGAGAACCCACTAGGCCACTCTTGCACGCGACAGGGAAAAATGGAAGAGATGCTGGTACCCGCTCGAGTCAGTCGACGATCAACGGAACAACGGAACAACGGGTGATACAGGTGATGAAACTTCGTATAAATGTACACATTTGAAAGTCCAAAATACAGGCACTGAGAAGTGGAAAAGTTGACGCTAACAGTTCAGCAAAAAAACTAAAGGTAACAGTAACTATCAAGCCAGATATGGATAGATCAATTTTTTTTGCCATATATTCCTACACATGGATTTATTGATAATGTGAGAATAATTTAACCTGCATAGAAGGATATCCATGAGTTTTTTGATGAGCGTCTCGTGATTCTCTTCCTTTTGATTTCCATTGGTCATCACTGAAAACTCAGCGTCGATGGATTTTTTTTGTTACTGTTACTAGCACGATGAAGAAGTAGTAGTTTTTTGGTGAGGGATTGGGTGCGATGATCGATGTTTTGACGACACCATCAGTCACTACTCTACACTCTGTCTCTAGATGATTTGAATTTCAAAACCAGTAGTAAGCGTTTTTCACGCTGTGCTGCACTAGTTTCCACATATGGTTGCTCATGTCTCGCAAAATAGCTGAGAACAAAGGTGTCAGATTTCTAAATTTGAAGATAATTCCAAGTTGAATGTAATAATTGAATCCCTGCACAAGATTTTTTTTTTCTAAAATAGTTTTTTTGAGAGATCATCTTAAATTTCTAATGCGAGTTTCAAATTTGATTCGAAGAGTAATAAGGCAACGACGACGACTCTCATAAAAGCAATTTAAACGAAGTCATTTATCAGAATCTCGTCAGAAGGCCTCCTAAGTAAAATAACTTTGAGTAAAGGACGATTAATGTGTGGCAAATTGAAATTTTTCCCAACGTCGTCTGCCGTTCACGGAAACAAAGTTCATCAAAATGAAAGACAGTTTATTTCCTTGCCGTCAGTTCATAATCACTTTTATCAGTGAAGTCAGTTCATAACTCTCCATGCTTTATTCAATAATGGCTTATCAAACTCGTACTTTTGATCTCAAGGCCAACTTTCTTTGACTTCGGCATTGGTCAATGAATTTGCTGCTTTATAATGTACAGAATTTCTTTCCAATTTACCATTTGGTAACAGTTAAACCCTTTGGGATTACGAGCCACTCATGCTACACGCGCATCTGCGTAATTTACTCGTTGAGCGCAGATTTTTTATTAGACCATAGTTGTCATTCGATCGCTAAGAAAATTCCAATTCTGATGGTATACTTGCTTTTTTTTTTCAAACGCTTTTCTTGTGAGCTGTAGCAGCGAGGAGAAATTACGTTTTTTCTTTACTGCGCAGTGTATCTTGCATTCGTGCTTGCTTGGATTTTTTTTACCAGGCAAAGCTTTTTCTCTAAAGCTTTAGTAGATTCGGTAGCCGAAAAAGCCTGGGCTAATGCTATGTTTACTTTTTAGAAATGCTTTTCTATGAGCTGTAGCAGCGAAGTGAATATTAGAATATTACGTTTTATCTTCGGAGTGCGCGGTGTATTTCGCATTCGTGTCTGGTTGGCTTTCTCATCAGACAAAGTCCTATGGCTAGAGTTCCAGTAGTTATCCGACAGCTTGATAAACATCAACTTTAAGTGTAAATTTTATTTATGACAAAAGATTTTATCGCGGTGAAGTGGCGACGAAGATAAATTACGTTTTGCTTTTCCCTTTCGGGACCAAATGTACCGACAGTGGGACACTAATTTCTCGTGGCTTCGTCAATGGGCATAATTTCTCGTGGCTTCGTCAATGAGCACCGGTTTTCACCATGATTTCAAGTGACCATTCGATAGCTGGAAAATTTGCAATCAGACACAAAGCTCGTTTCCCAAAAGGACTTTTTCGGTGCGCTGTGGTAACCAAAGGAATATTACGATTCGCCTGCGGAGTATGTTTTACACTAGTGTTTGCCTGAATTTCGCCGGCAAAGTGTTTTTGCCGGAGTTTCAGTAATCTTTAGATAGCTCGAAAAATGTTAGCTCTGGTACCATAGTTGTTTCCTATAAAAATCTTTTTCATTAGATGTAGCTATAGCGAAAAGAAAAACCGACGTTTATGCAAGGCTGGCGTCTGTGCATAGTTTTCATGAATATTTAGTGGTAGTTAGGCAGTCATTTGATAGGAAAAATTATGAAATTTTTTAATTCTAGTTTTAATTCAAATAATTCTCTAGAGAGCGCTGCAAGAGCAAAGTTTTTTTTTTCGCTATGTTGAGAGAAAATAAAAAACTAATGCCATTGAAACGATCAAACAAGTTTTTCTCTATAAAATGCCTAATTGGCGAATTTTCTCGAAAAGGATGAAAATTTTCCAAATAACGAAAATGAGATCGCTGCACGCGGTGCTATCAGAAGGAAAGCAATTTTAGTTGTTCACTTAAAAAATTTGCATCTGTCGCGAGGAAAGGAAATGTCCAGATGTAGTTTCGCGTTTAAAGAACATAGGATTGTCTCTACATGCTCACACACTTTTGATGCATATATATCTCTTATGCGCACAGAAAACTCTGAAGGTAATTTAAAAGGTAAAGGAAGTGTAGGTAACTAAAACGTAATTTTTCTTTTGCTCTTACGGCAGCTTAGAGAAAGCCTTGGAACAAAGATTATGCTTAGAATCGGCATGATTTGTGTATCAAATAGGCCTTGAACTTTAGAAGGAAAGCCATTCAGATATTGAATAAAAGCTGCACAAACTCAAGCTGAACGAACGAAAATGCCGAGTGTGAAACATGGTCTTATTTTCACCTTTACAGCCCGCTACAAAATTTTTGTTTGAAAGCTCAGTAAAGTTTTTGATTGCCAGCATTTGAGTTGTCAAATGATTGCTAAAACTTTAGGAGATAAGCTTCCTCCAGTTAATAAGGCTTGATTCAGAAAAGGTCTTTTATGCCTTCTTATCGCTGACCTGGCGTCGCATGCGCTATGCAACATCATTTTCGATAAACTATCTATTATTATCCCATTTTCAATACATTTTGAGTGTTGTACGTAAGAAAATATATCAACAGTGATGAATTTATATCATTATATTCATTGTGTAAGTTATTAGAACTAACATAGTGCTAACATCACTGTAATTGCGCAGTAAAACAGAATTCTAAACAAACATAAACCCAATGATGTAGAGTGGCGTGCAAAAACGTTTACGTGAACTGAGATTTGAACCAAGATCATACTCTTTTCGAGAGCATGTGCTAACCGTTGCACCACCGACGCTCGTTCTGCACTCCACTCTTTCTACGCTACAACGCGTTATCTGTCAACAGCCAACCGTCTACGATGTGGCAGCGCAGTCATTATCGACGTGAAACCCACTTCTGTTGACAGATATTGGGCTCAATAATCAATTCAAAATCATTTCATTTGACCGCCTTTTGCGGTGTTATGATATTTTCTATTAACCCAATGATGTAGAGTGGTGTGCAAAAACGTTTGCATCAGCCGGGATTTGAACAGCCAACCGTCTATGGTGTGGGTTTCAAAAAGTGGGTTTCATTTCGATAATGACTACCCTGCCACACCGTTCCGCTGTTGACAGATAACACGTTGTAGCATAGAAAGAGTGGAGTGTAAAACGAGCGTCGGTGGTGAAGCGGCTAGCACATGCTCCTGGAAAGAGTAGGATCTGGGTTCAAAACCCGGCTGACGCAAACGTTTTTGCACACCACTCTACATCATTGGGTTGATAGAAAATATCGTAACACCGCAAAAGGCAGTCAAATAGAATGATTTCGGATTGATTATCAAACATTAACGTTAGATTTCCACCAAGAGCACACGACTGTGTAGAGAAAATCGCAAGCTATCGAAAAATTACGGTAAACCCTAGATTTATTCCTGAAACGGGTAAAGAAAGACTCTAATGATGTAATAAAAATCGCGCTTTGGCTACTATTGCGTGGCGAATACAACTGGTGCTCATGAAAGGGTTAATGATATTATGGTTATAAATCCAAGAATACTGAGTGACATGCAAAAATTCAAGTCAGTGACGTGAGTTCAACTCCCTCCTGAGGTTTGAAGTTTTGCATAACACTCAGTACTCTTGGATGTGTAATTTGCTGTTTCATCTCACTACTCTGTCTGCTTATGCTTGCGATAACTGACGTTTTAACAAATTTACCTTCCTCGGAGTTTAGCCGTACTACGCCCTTTTCTATGACTCGATCAATTCTTCTCCATTCAAATAAAAATCTAGCTCAAAATTTTGCTTATCAAGAAGCTCGTCTCTTAATTCCTTATATGGAGTGAGGTCACACGTGTAATGTTCACATTAGGGGTAATAAACGTTACTCAAATCAGAAAATCAATCTTTTTAACCAATTTCACTCGGATTTATCCAAAAAGCTATAATAGCCTTGAGCATAGATATTCCTGATTCTCTTTTTCAGGATTATGCCTTTCACATTCAAATCGTCGCCGTTGTGCCTTTGTGCTTTATGCGTACCCAAAAAAGTTCTTCATTGAATGTTATACTTTTTATATGTGTTTTATCCTAAACGTTCGAACAAGTGGATAGGAAACCCAGTGGTGAGAGAAGTGCGAGCTGGAGTTTCCATATTTCCTACAAAGTTATCGCGACCGCTGTTATTCGTGGGCTTCAAAACTCACTTATTTCATTGATATTGTCTACGGCTCTGAAAGGATCTGCCTGTTTGGGTTTGAGGTAATACTGTCATAAGGTCCGAAGTTCTTTTAGTCTGATTTTGAAGGACGTTGTTTCGTAGCTATTTTAGGTGCTGGTCCTCGCGGTGATCTCTGAGAATCCTCCCTCAAATCCTTTTTCTCTGCAACAGGAGCCCTCTGTGACCAATGAGAGAAAAGGTAATAAACCACTTTTCAGGCTACACTTTCAGTACCATTTGGTAATGTAGCCGTTTTTTGAGAAACCTATGAGGATGAAGACTGGATTTTAGTTTTCAATGTTCAAATTAACCTCTCCGAGACAGGCTATATCAGCTAGTGGTACTAAAACTCAAGTAACATGAAAGCTTCAACTTGTTATTTTTTCTCTCATTATTGTGCATGTGTATGAGTATTGCGCATGAGTGTTTGTGAGAAACACGTTTTGTACATGCACTAATTTGTGCGAAGAGAGCAGAAAAAAGAATTTCTTTGATCGAAGCGGCAATTTGATTTTCAGTGGTCATGATACGGTAGCGCATTAGAAGAATATTGAAAGAAAAATTATGCTCTGCATTGATTTCAACAATACTATATTCCTATTTATCGTTTTCTTTGTTTCCAGTGACAATGTGCGGATTAATACACTAAGTGATATTCACATGAAGTACGTCGCACCGAGTCTTATTAGTAACGTGAACTTCACACATTACAGTATTTTCACATTCATGGAGTAATTTAGTATAGACCAGGGGGAATATTGGAGAGCGTATACGGCCCAACATTGGGCCTTTTCAAAAAAAAACGGATACAACTAGGAATCGCTAGTGAATCTTCACTTTAACCAAAAGGTTGCAGCACTCCGCATTCCTTGCCGTTCCATTGCCAAAAAATTGAATCCGAGCCCCACGAAAAGGAAAGATTTCTGATTTACGCTCTAATTTGAAGAAAACAGATACTCTTAAAAGATAAGAGGATTTGCAACTAAATTACCATACCTATTGCCTAACGCTTGAATTAGAAATAGGAGCAACTATTATTAATCATATAACGACGTGTCCGATCAAGTCAAATCTGCTGCATTCGATATAATAGGTTAGAATTTGACGGAGAATATTCAGTGCAATCTATTTTTGAAAGTGAGAAATCGTATCGCCCTACGCCATCTCGTGAGTGGCATATTGAAAAAGTTACATTCTCCCCATTACAGATTAGTACGATGTTATCTATGGTGGTGCAGATGTAATGCAACGAAAACATGTCAAAATAAAAAATATTGTTCTAAAAAATCCAGCCTGTCCCAAATAAATGAATAGTTTTGTATTTGAACTTTTGAACGCAGATTCTGAAAAGCTGCAAAGTATGCCAGACCATAAGGCCACTAAGACATATTACGCCAACAAACACAGCAACTGTTCTGGTGAGACTTATGATCCACAGCGAGTCGTCTTTTTTAGGGCTCAGAATACGTCATAGTAAAGCACGCATCCTGACCAACCAAGAACCTTCACAGTGTTGGTGAAAAACTCCAAAGTTGAATTTTAATTAGAGCAAAAAAAGCTCTTCAACAGTCACTCTTTTGAGTAGATCCTGCGCTCACTGAAGTCAGAGAAGCGTCATGTAACCTATATGGACGAGGAATAACTGTCTAGGTCGAAAAATAAACCATAGATGTGGGGAGAGGTTATATGCGATCACACGGCACCTATCCTTGTTGATCATAGTTAAGTTCCTGATTACTCTTCAAAGAATTAGTGCGCTGATGTTTTGGCCCACCCACGAGGATGATAAATTTTACTTTGAAGCTCTTTTTACAGTTTTTGCTGCGTATTTATATTCCGATCCTCTTTATCGCCTTGCCAATGTTTTTTGTAAGCGTTCAGTAATTTATCGGTTTAGCCAAAGAATTCGCCATCGCACACTTTACAACAATTATGTGGTCTATGATGTATCAATATGATCGTTTTCAGGCTGTGAAAAAGTTGAAAGCTGCTAAGTTGACCATTATAGAATGGATAACTAATGCCAAAGTTGATAGAAAAATTAATCAAAAATTAATCAACAATATCGCTCGATTCGTGAATACGAGGAGAGAGCGAGATTGTTACAAAAAGTAGCCCATGTCGGAAGAACATGTGATAAAATGATAAACCCAGTATACGCCTAAGAGAACTGACTGGTGAACAAAACACGACCTCAGACGGGAGTCGAACCCGTGTTTCATTCATACCGTTGATGCGTGCTACCACAACACCACCGAGGCACAATCGCATCACCACTCTTTTTCAATATTTCTACCATAAACCTTTAACATTGTCGGTCATGCGATTTGCTTTATAAACCCAGTTGAGCTGACGGCCAGTGTGATAAGTGATATTCGAAATTCTAGTGTTTGATTGCCTTATCCGCAGTGTTGTGATGTTTCATATATACCTAAGACAATTGAGTGGTGAGTGATTTACCCAATACTTCAATTATCGCTCCCGTCATAAGAAGCGCGTCTACACCAAATGAGTTAGTTGTCAATGGCAAATAAGGTAAGAACAATATTACACGAAGTCGGAATGCCAAATCAGGAAAAAAATTATCAGAAATCCTACCAAGGGTATGAATAAGAAAAAGCAATTATATGTGGACTTCATTTTTATTTGACTGCTTTTAGCGGTGGTATGATGTTACAATATACCAAATTTTTTGTACCCCACATTATTGGACATACTGTAACATCATACCACCCCTAGAGGCGGTCAAATAAAAATGAATTCTTATTGATCATCAAAAACAAATCTCAGAACATAATTGAGGTGTAAATATTTATGGCTACATCAAATGCCATATCCACCATTCTCTTGCTAGGATCAGTACTGTAATCATAGGTAAATCTCAGTTGCTATAGAAATTGAATTTCGTTAGTGATAGTGATTGTTCTAACGTTAACAACTGAGTGTACTGCTGCTTTCAAATAAGATAGTTATTTCACAAGAAAATTTTTTCGCGAAAATTGCTCATAATCGTCACTTCTATTAAACATATCCATTCATTGAGCATAAATTGGTAATGGTATGGTCGCACTCCGCAGTATCACGATTACAACATTAGATTACTACTACAAAAAGAATAATCCATTACTGTACTGAAGCGATAGTTATTTTTGGAAGAAGACAGTTTTAGATAGTAACGGATGAGGAGAAAACAGTTCTGTTTACGGTTCAGAATTTTTCGAGAAGAAACGTACCTAAGCAAAGAGACCGATTGATGGCGATAACAGCTTTAGTTCTGACGACTCGTTATTGCTCAGACTGAGATATGATCTCAGCGATTATGCAGTTAAAATCGATTGCATTCCTGAAAAATTTGATGAGCTAAACGAGACGAATGACTCAATCAGTCCGAATATCAACAAAAAATCCAAGAACTGAGTGGATCTCGTTGTCGAAGAATTGATTGTTGCAGTAATTGTTTCACTGATTGTTGAAATCTCACTGACGAATGTTTCGATAACTTGTGTGAACCGATATATGCAGTTAAACTTAACGATGTAGTGTACAGAGGCCATCCCCCTCATAATGCTCTGACATCGCTCTGAAACTACATGGGCATAACACAATAAATGCAAAATGTGTGATTAGTTTTCTAGACTAAAAAAACAGTGCTGTTGGCACTCACATAACACAATCCGGTGCTTGCTGAGGATAATCCTATGCTGGTGCACAATAATCGGCGTGTGTAGCTAATGTGCTCGGAATAAAGAAGTCATCGGTCCGTTTTGCACCCCGTGCCTACTAGACCTTCCATCCCTCTGGAAAATTGGTGTCAAACTACTCTGGGATGGTAGCGGCAGTGACCTGACATCAACATGCTGCTGTTGTCCTTATAGGCCTGTTATGCATCCAGTCGCTTCTGACGATGTTCAATGAAGTTGGATGTATAAATAATCAAAAGTTGACTAACGTCGAGACCCTTACCCGTCCATGTATCCCGGTAGCTTGGAACGTCGCATAGCGCTGTTTAACTGGTTTCAATCAGACATGGAGTTATTATACTTGGTGATTATTGAAGCACTAAGAAGGCATTTATGAAGTTTAGCTAATGCCTTGCATTCTAGAAGCGGGATTCTACTGATTAAACGAGCTTAGGATATTGAAAATGGACTGCCACGCAGCACTTCTGAAAATTATTGACAATTTCTGGTACAAAACTGACAGTAATTCGCGGCTTTTCTGATGAGGAGCACTGAGGTTTTTATCGTACCTATTCACGAAACTCGACTTTTGAACTGCTTCGTCTTCATCCGAACCTGGAATTGTCAAGGTAACAAGTGAGTCCATGAGTCAAATGTTTTTGAACCAGAATCAAAAAAGTTAGTAAAAAGAAACTATTTGCGTGGCAAGCATCATATTTAAGCCCCTATCGTTCTCCCAGAAACGACTTCCTATCAACCACAACGATGACAAAAAATTTAACTTTCTTAAAAAGCAGACACGAGTATGCCGACAGCAAAATTTGGTCACTGCAATATCGTTCATTGTCTCGCTAATTGGACCAGTTTTGTTCTCTTCAGGATTTCACTTAACTATCAAAAAAATCATTACTAGTCCATGAAAACTCTATGGGATTGATTTTTATTCGGTGATTAGGCGACATGAAGAATAGACGAGTAGGAAAAAAACAACACAGCTTATAAAAGGCGAAGTTGAAATGTTAAGAAGACTGAATTGAAAAATCGTGCTATTAGCAACCTCGTATCCACTCATCGGCGCGCAGTCGCGGGCTTGTGGGATGAGGAGCATGACGCGATACAGCGGGAGGTCACCGCGAGTCATTCTAAAGCCTATATATGCATCTCGATCACCTCGATCAATTACCTCGAACGAATTTAGAAATCAAAGAAAAATGCATTGTGCTTCCCTCAGGGATCGATCGTCGCCGATAGTTTTTATCCCTTAGTTAGAAATTAGTTGAGCAATGAACAGCAAAAGTACATGAAATTCACCCAAAAGACACAAAACCAAGCGGGCTTTCATTTCTGAGAGTTCTTGTCAGCCCGCGTGAAAGTGTCTGCATTACGAAGAGCTAGAAGAACTAAGCAGTATTCACAAACCAATTTATTTTCTTTCATATCGCTGCAATAGCCAGCATTGTGTACATTGGAAGATGATAGTAGGAGGATTCTTGAAGATGGCGGAAGAAGTAGCTACTATGTTGTGGAGAAAGTTTCTTAACATCAACGAAACTAGCGTTTTATGTTTGCTTCACATAGTATCTGTTATTGTAAATTCATGGAAATATCTCAGGAATGTTGTCATAAGGAACTCCCACGGTAACGCTAGTTTTAGCGCATCAAATCTTAGTTTACTCTTCCAATATCAGATGATTGAGATGGACAAAATTGGACTTAGGGTTTTTATTCGCTAATATTGGAAGCAACTTTTGGCAATGGATGCCTCGATGAAGATCGGTGGTGCCGAAGATGAAGGAACTATGAACCATGTGAGTGTTGCAAAGTGGCACAAATGATGCGTTGAAGGAACTATACCCAACATTGATTTCTTGAAATTCAAGGTCTTGCCGCACCCAGCCTACAGTTGTTCAGTATGCAGTGCGTCTGACCATGTCTTTCCTGCTCAATGGAACACTTCTTGAGTGGAAGACGAATCAAGAACTTCGCTTGTCTAAGAAGCATGTCAGGAGTTTTTTGACTCAAAGTCTAATAAAGGCATTTGCAAGCAGATCCACAGGCTCGCAGATTCTTGGCAGAATATCGTGTAGAATGATGGTCCTCACTTTTGAGAAACTATTGGTCTTATATTTTCAAATTTATGCGTAAACTTTGGATTTGCAGAGGAAGTCAAGCAACTTTTTCCTCAACATCTTTCTGATGACTACGAAATGTAAGCTTCTGTGGATATGCTTAGTGAGAACACGATGAGCCCAAATGATAAGTCGTCTAAGTGGAAGGTCCCATTAATCTTGCCCTTAATCCCCTTGACATTAGTCTTCTTCAAATACGTCTACAAAACGCTGCTCAAATATGGTCAACCTCGAGGAATTGGTAGCACCAATGTCATAGCATCAAGAGCTCTAATACAATAGCTAGTACGTGGCCACTTCTAAGAGAGCTTAGGTAAAACGCAAAGTTGCCTAATCTCTCTTAAAGGTAAAAGCGATAATTACATGAGCTTACATACAATAGAATGATCTCTTGTGAAATATGCGAGGACCAATACACCGTTGAGACCGAGTACATCACCTGACTCATAAAAGAACACCAATTAGGATATGTGAGCTCAAAAAAGCACTTCATGTGGTACGACAACGAACAAAAACATAACTGAGAAACTTTCAAACTGGAGCTCAGTCCGCGCAATCTAGAGAATCCGCACGAAGTACTTCAGAAATATCCTGGGTGAGTCTAAAAACTCAGGAATTACCGGTGAAGATGAGTGACTTCTTACTCTCCTTGACTTCTTAACGCACGTCATGCTCATTTTTTAGACATGGAGTAGGCGCATTCTTGTCTAATGCATTACCTCCTGTGCTACTGATCTCTATTAATAACGAGAAGATTGGAAAAATAAGGAGTTGTCAAATAGGTGAGGGATTATTTGTGCATCAAGCTTTTTTTCCTCTGCTGAAGGTATAGATTTAACGGAGTAATTTTTTAACCCTATTTCTGGCTCATTCCAAGAAAGGGTTAGATCGAAAACTAATATCTACGAGGTAAGTCATACGAAGTTTCACGTACTCTAAAGGGATGATTGACGAAGTTGATAGAAAGATGTCTTTATTCTTTCAAGAAAAATGCCGTAAAATAAGAGAGCAAATTGAGTATTTCACGTTGTATAGAGGTAATAATGAAGCAAAATTCACAAACTTTTCAATAAACTACTTAGTGATGGTGTTTGTAAGCTTTTTGTTAAGTGTCTTTAGTCAATTACTCGGCACTCGATCTATAATCACAGAGCACAAGGTTTTCTTCTTGTCGATTGCCACCTCGTTTACGATTTTGATCATATCGTCGAGCGTCTCGAAATCGTGAAGAGTGATAGAAGAAATAAGCACAACCTTAAGGATAAACTTAGAAATGAGCTGACTAGTATTTTGGAGAATGTCTGTACTCAACCAAATCCGGATGAAAAGCGCTTATTCAAATGCCATTGTAAGTTTTCTGCTCATGAACGATCCGCACCGTCTTGCGACTAGTCAAGGATTCCAAGAACTTCTCCGTCGCATAGTCAACACAGTTTGGAATTCTAAGAACTA